CGTTTTTTTACAGCGATTCACGGTAAAAAAGTCATGCGTTTCCGAAGGCTACTTGGCTGTATCTCAATGGAAACGCGCAACAAAACGGCCCAAAGTAGTACCTGTACCGGCGTGGGCCGTTTTGTAGCGCGTTAGGGACGGGCGGAAATACGCCAAGGTGGGAACGAGACCATTGAATACAATGGGATTTATATTTTTGAGCGTTTTGTAGAGCGTTTGTCGAGCGTAGAACGCGCTACAAAACGTTCAGGTGTGAACGAGGGCTAATTTTTAATGTGACTGAAATTAAAGCCCATCTCGGAGCAAAGCATGTGCTGCAGTAGCTCACACGCCCATAAACCAGCAGAATTCCACCTCTATGCTTTATGGTGTGCTTCTCTTGATAGACCTTATTGACTCCTCTCCGATCAGTTTACACAGTTCAATTTTGGTCTCATCACTCCAAATGATTTTGTTCTGGAAGTTTTGAGACTTTTCTAGGTGCTGTTTGGCATATTGTAAGTTGGCTCTTTTGTGGAGTCAGGGCAGCTAACATGTTTGAAATCCTGCAGAAATATGTAAAACTTATAAGCATAACTGTTCATACTTTTGTAGAGAACACTAACAAATAGATGTATGCTGCTGCTTAGTAGGTGGATAACAAAATATAAAGTTATTTTATGGAGATTCTACTTTCTCCAGCAGACTTGGCGATCATGGTTAGAGAAGTGTGCAGCTGCCATTTGCTAAACTCCTCTTTTAAATGCTGGGCTGCCACTCAGCCTGCAATACTTTGAATCACTCACCTGGAAGAAGTATGCTGACAAGGACATCTAATCAAGAGTTCTGATTTTTATGTCTGGCATGTCAGGATGAAGGGAAGCCCTGCCACACAAACCTTTCCACCTGGTGATCGTACTTGCTTTCTGGAGAAGGCTATAACTGATTCCACTGAAGCAGACAGTCTTTTACATCGGTTAGTTGCATGCACATACATAGTATAGTGTAAACACCGATTCAAACAATCTATACATTAAAAATATATATATATATATATAGACAATGAACTTTGTTTGGGT